ATAATTTCAAGTTCTCGAGAATATTTTTAATTACAACTAAATAACTACCTATATAATAAAATCGATATTCTTCGTTCAAATATCTGATTTCGTCAACATGTGAATTTCAAATATTTTAAATGTTTGATGTGTATTTGTGTTTTTTTTTGCATCTGTATACAGTATAAACAATAAGTAGTACAAAAAATGCTTAGACTTTATATTTTTTGAATGTTTCAGATAAAACTTTTGTTTAATTGTCAAGTAAAGATATCAAATTACTATTTTTCAAAATGATAGGAAAAAACAAAAATTTTGTGAAAACGGAAATTTCTACGTAAAACTAGTATTTGGTTTTGTTTTTTAATGTAATTAAAAAACAAATAAATGTAAATAGGCGCTTAAAATGTTTATTAAATATTAATATTAGCATTGTCTATGTACGATGACAGTTTAACAATATTTTAATACTTTTTGAGTTATTATAGAGATTTTAAATTTTTAATCTACTTTTAGTTTTTTTTCTTTTAAAAATGTCTATAAAAACATTTTTGCTATATAAAGAACCTTGCAAATTTAATACAAGGTTTCGCATAAGTTGTTACTAATTAATAACAATTTAAAAATTTAAAAAATAAAAAGTTACAGTATTATTTTTATAAGTATTTAAAGATAAAATTTAAAAAATAATAATACAGTGACAAATTAAAAAGTTATATGGAATAAAATATGTATATGTATAAGCTTTTATCAATACTGACTTCTTGTTAGCCTTTACAATAATATAGTATGAAACACGTTTCTTGTAAAGAATAATCCCTCGTTTATAACGCTATTGAGTAGTTTGTAGGTGAATACTTATATTTTGCATAGAAATTAATTTGTATAAAACGAACTCCATCTTCTATGCTATTATTATTGGTAGACCTATTCAATATACGTACATTTTTATTCATATCCATATGTACGTAAATTAAATTCACAGCTATAAAAATAAATGTATTTTTTGTGTGAAACAAATACTTGTGTACGTTTTATAAAATTCTTAGAACTCTAACAGTACATGCATAATATAGGTAAGTATACTTTAAATGGTATTACAATAGCGCATTTAACTTACATGGTACAGTAAAAAATTTAAATTGACAATTGATTGAATTTGCCCACCAATAGCAGCTCTTATTTCTCCGAGATTATCACGGTAGAAATAAAACAATGGACAGGTCATTCAGTCCCGTCTTAAAATATATTATACACCTATGTGTAATGTAAAATATAGTTAACATTAATGAGAGATTAATTAGAGAACTTAGAGAGAACTTAATTCTTAATTTCCATTTCAGCCACGGCCATGAACATTTTTTTCCTTGAAAAATAGGCTTATATACCTACGTTTTATGTCACTATTCACAGAACTTCAAACGGCAGATCCCAGGTAAATCGAATTACTAAACCAGCCCACGGTTACAGCAGAACATATATTATTTAATAATATATATTTTCTATAATTTCTATGGATCATTTGAAAATTTGTAATCTATGCGCGTAAAAACAATTTCGTCGAGCCGTGTCTTGTCATTTTTTAAGAGAAATAATGTGCTTTACTTTAATTAATTGATAAACACAGTATTAATACTATACGTGCTCGACTTTTGTTGCAATGTACCATATTCTTATTTACGTGTTTTTTTATTTCAATCGATTTATTGATTATTATAACTACCATAATCAATTAGGTGATTATATATTTTGATTCATAATAGCATCATTAAAATAGTGATACCAATATTATTATAGCCCGTAAACACACCGCTGTTAATTATTTACGCAATAAAACATTGAAAAATAAAATTAATATTTAATACAATATTAAAGGTAATTCAATATTTTAATTTTTAATATTCATATAAATACATAATTCGTTGTAATATATATATACCACATGATATAAATTTGAATATTTAATTTAATTTTAGTTGAAATTTCTCAGCGTATAATGTGATAGCGTGACGTGTGATGTCAATCTTAATTGTATCATATAAATACCATGTTTAAGCTTTAATTCATTTGGAAAATAACAGTATTTTCAGTTATTATACAGTAAATAATTGTACTAAATTATTCAAGAAATTTGAAGTTGATGAATTGGATGTTTATTGTTTCATTTTTATCAAGCGCAAACACTAGATACATGTTTTAATAACAAATTTGTGTTTTTATTAATATTTTATGTATTTTATTTTATTTTATATACCCATGTGTGGAAACGGCCCAAATGGATAATGTATAAATACTTAAAGACATAATCAAGTCTTAAATATTTAACCCTATTAATGTAGACCTTGAAATGACTTTGGGTTTTCATATATTATTTCATCGTAATAATGTTATACTTATTAGCAAATATTATACCATGGTTATCATTAAATAAATATATACTTATATTTTTTTATCATATCTTAAGAAATTAATGTTGGTGTAGGAAGTAATTAATTGTATTCATGTATAACATTTAAATTACATTTAAATGAGAAAATGATGAGTGACTTAGAATTATTAATATAATATATGAGATCTTTTTTTATTCGGTTAGACGTTTTTAAATGTATTGTTTAACTATTTAATTCTTTGGTTTTCTCGACGGATACATTATTCTAGCAATATTAAATTTAAACTTAAATAATTTAATAAAGAGCAAATAATTTTAGTTGTCACATGGTTTGGTATAGTTTCTATTCTAATTGTAACATAAACAACCTAAATTATTTCATTTGTTCTCTATTTTTATTTAGATTTAATTTATGGAGTATTTAACTTTGAAACAGTAGTTATTATTATAGTAATTTTTTTAATGTCTTTTATGTTTGTATATTTATATGATTTCTAATTTGGCTCTATGACTCCATAATAACTGTATAAAAGATTAAATTATATGCTTTTTATTACTTAATTATTTAATTGATTATAATTTATTTATTTTCCTCCTATATAAGTTCTCAATGCTCACAATTTTGAGCTAGACCCGAAATTCTACGATTTTAAAAACCTAGAATATTTTTATTTAATTAAATGTATTTTTGTGTATAGGTACAAGGTACGTGTAATTACAGGTGATGTTGACAATACTCCGATTATTATTTGATTTATTATACTAGCAGATACTTAATTTTAATTTACTTATGATGAATATTATATATGTTACGGGCAAAAGCCGAAATCGGGCAAACCTCAGAAATGCCCGGGCAAAACGCGAATTGCCCACAATCCTTGGGCAAAATGTCATATTTCGGCTTTTGACCGGGCAAACCTAGTTATGACCAACATCATTTGGGCAAAACCATATACTGACTTTCATCGTAAGGACAAAACCGTAGAGTTTTATATACGTTCGCTAATATTATAAACAAATTTAATAATTATAAAATAAGTATTATTGTACAAATATATAAAATTAATATATTTAAACCTCACTTGAGTCAAACTGTAGCGTTTTAAATAACCACTAATATTAAATACAAAAAAAAATAATAATCATAAAATATTGTACAGATATAATTAAATACACTTAAATAATAATAAAAATATAATGATATTAAGTACTAGTATAAAAATAAACATATAATAATATTAGGTTCTCTATAATGTTAAAATAAATAATTAATAAAAAATATTGTACAGATATAATTGAATATAATAATAAAAAATAATATTTTTGTTTATTTGTTGCTACACATATTAGAACTACACACAATTTAAAACGCTACAGTTTGACTCAAGTGAGGTTTAAATATATTAAGTTTATTTAATTATATTTGTACAATAATACTTATTTTATAATTATTAAATTTATTTATAATATTAGCGAACGTATATAAAACTCTACGGTTTTGTCCTTACGATGAAAGTCAGTATATGGTTTTGGCGGTTTTGCCCAAATGATGTTGGTCATAACTAGGTTTGCCCGGTCAAAAGCCGAAATATGACATTTTGCCCAAGGATTGTGGGCAATTCGCGTTTTGCCCGGGCATTTCTGAGGTTTGCCCGATTTCGGCTTTTGCCCGTAACATATACAAAATAATTCTAATAATTTAATCGAATAAAACTTAATAATACGATGATTATTAATGACTAAACTATGCTTGATAAAAAAAAAAAAAATTGTTAGTTATTACTACTTCTTATTATATATTGTTAAAACTTAAAACAATGCTTGCGTGCAAATGACATCTAGAATTACATAATACTATACGCTAGTGGATTTACACTTACGTATACATTTTTAATATATTTTATACAACAATGTATCTACTTAAGCATTTTTATTTAATCCTTGATCACCATTTTAAAATTGCATGTTGGCTATTTTTCTTATTGTTTTTATTACATTTAGAAATTACATCTTCAATTTTAAACATAGATTTAGAAAACAGGACATATTATAATAAATTGGTACATTTGTGCTTATGAACCATTTTTAGTATCTATTATATTATATAATGTTATGCTTTTTTGAAGTAATGCTTCTTATAACTCATAAATATAAAGGAATTGAATGATTTTTATTTGTTAGTAATTTTATTTAGCGTTGCGACATTATAATATTATATTGTTGTCATTTGTACCTTATAGTATCTATACATTCATTTTTATAGCACTTAACGGTGGCTATGCTATGAGTATTAAATAGATGCATAACCTTTAACCTCTTTTGGTATTACTTTATTGTTCATCTATTGTAGGTATTTTGAGTTTAAAAATTATTGAATTTCACGGACCTCCAGTTAATTAAATTATAATTTAGTATGTATAATGTATATACTATATATGATACATATACAGGTATTTGTCTTAAAATTTTCAATTTTTTTTTATAAAGACAAACACTGTCTCACAATTTTTGATACAGGAAAAACTTAACATGATAAATAACATTTCCGCTTGATTTAAATAGTGGCTTTCAACAACCTATTATATCTTAGTGCCATATACAAAATATTATGAATATTTTTACTTACCACTTAAAAGAAATTCTGTGTCTTCATTGATACAATTATATGCGTACTTCACTTCAGTCGTCGCTAATATGTAACCGGACCAAGTAATGATCTGTCAAAATAATTACTTTGTGTTTAATATTAATTCTAATTTTTCATCAAAGTCGTATATTACCAGCTATTATAAACTTATTCGTACCCACCATTGGCTGAGAACCACTGGTGTAAACAATAAATTTTCTGTGTAATCACTAGTACTATAAATACTAATATACTATCTTATATGTTTTAGGTAAGTTTTGCGATGTATATTGAATTATCTAAGATATACGCATCACAAAATCATGGGGTAGAAATGTAATTCAATTATAAATATTGTAATAAGAGTACTTACGTACTAGTGTAAAAATATGAATAGATCTAATCAATAAAACTCGGGTTTTAGAACTAAAGTAATTTTAAAATAAAAAAAATTTCTATAGATTGACACTCAATAAATACGAAAAATAACAACAAAATAAGCGTAATATATTATCAAGTATTAGAATTACAAGTGGCTATTTAATTTTTATATTTTGTTAAAAAAGAACGTTTTTTAAAAATATTTTTGTGTTTGTACAATTAAAATAATTATCCGGTTATTCGCTGTATACATGCATGTTATATTTAGTTGCTGATATCTTGTGAAAATATATGAAAACAAATAATTAAGATTGTGTTATTTTATTTATGTATCTAGCTTTGGTTTAGTATCAATCTTGTGGTAAAGATAGATTTTGCTATATTATGACGATGGTGATATTATGTCATAACTCATAACTCATAATATTACGTAGGTATAAATATACAATGGACATTACGCAATATAGGAGCTGGACCAGTTACAACAGTAACGTATTTCTAAGGGGTTATACATTAGCGATTTCGACATTGGACATAGCCCATAGGATTAATATTGTTGCATAAACATAAAACAGGGTTAAAAACGGTGAAATATTCATGAAATTATGGACTAGACAATAGGGAAATACGTACATTTAATATGATATGATGTATACACATGTACGTCATTCTATTATACATTGTGCGTGAAAACAAGAACATGAATATTTTTTTCGATTTTAAATTAATAAAATTGTACTTAGTATACTGACACTTGAATAGACAAAAAAAAAAATTATGTTTTAATATAATATATAAATATTACTCATCATTATAAAGCTAAATATACATTCATTGCTTCACTTCGAATCTAAAATAAACACGCATAATGTTAAAAATACATATTAATAATTTTTACCTATATATATATATATCATATTATGCTACTTACTAATCAATGTCAAAGTTAAACTGGTAATATACGTGTATATTATTATGAGTAGGTATTCATATTATACTACCTTTACCTACGATAAACTATTTGTATACAAATGTGGTTGTTAGTTTGTGACCGTAAACAAAATATACGATAGCGATCTCTAATGTCGATCTATTATTAAAACGACTTTACTGACTCAATTTTTACTATAGTATTATAATCAGGTTTGAGGTAGAAAATGTAATGATGGCTTGTTTTGTTATGATTTTTTTCAGCATCTATACATTAAAAATGGTAATTTTAAAATTATATAAAATTATGAAATTTATTATGTGAATTGAAAATATTGATATAAAATATAACTATAACAAGTTAAATATAGATTTTAATAACACGTATAATATATTAATCTACGAAAAATGTATAACAAATTAAAACTACTTAAAACCTAACTATTAAAATATCACTAAATATTGTTAGTATCTATGTGAAAGCACAATAAGAAATGTTTAATATTTATTGGTTACCCATCATATGTATCGTTCTATATAGTGATTATTTTAAGATTAAAAACATAAATCATATAATTTAAAATGAAGAATAATATTACAGTGATATAACTGCTTACCTACATTCTGCCAGTTTTTCTAAAACTATAAGTAAACACTAAACAATATAATTAAAATATTATATTGCATAGTTATTATAAATTGTGGAGTTTGGTTAAAACGACAGCCGACCACCGCAATGTATAATGTGTACAATTTGAAAGTTTTGGGCTCAATTGATTATTCAGACGTCTACATAGTGTAATATTATACTGCAATTGTTTGAAAAGTCAGTATCATTTATTTACACTCGTAACACAATGATGATATAAATATGAAATTGTGTATGCGACGCTCAGTGGAAATGAAACCTTTTTATATATTTTAGAGACAACGAAGGTGTTTTGTGAATTTGATAGTGTGAATATTTAGTATAATATATATTTACGGTGAATGTGGACGGAAAAAGAGCTGCTGAAAACGATAGCTACAATTCCCAATGAAATATATCATATATAATAAAACTACAGAATACTAGAAATACATAGCAAAAACATAGATTATCATTAGAATGGGGAGAAAAGGTCACGAGTAATCAATCAGACGCGTTATTCACTATTCAGACGCACTTACGTCTTACAAGCAAATAAATACACACAAACATACACCAGGCTCACTCACATTTAAAAATTTATCGCTTTAACGATGATTATGATTACCTACAGTTTTGTTTTATTTTCTATCAGCGTAATTATCATGACCTTTTTTTCCTTCGAAAGAAAATAATTGATGTTGTTCAGTAATTATTGTTATCATAAAAATATGAATAAAAAATTAATTTAACACATGGTTCTTCGTAAAATAATAGTTACACAACCCTATTATTTTATAGTTAAATACTTATTTTCTCAAAAATGATTAAGTTTTTTGAAAAAAAATATCTTTTAGATAATTTAAATTGATATCAACTCAAGATTATTAAAATAAAATAAAATTTTCTATCGCTTTAAATGTTTTATATTTTTACTTACAAACAATGAAGACAGCATACATTTAAAATTTTCAATTCTAATATTTAATTTTCTTAATTTTTTTCAAAAATTCGATACTTATTAATCGATTTAAAAATTAGTAGTTAAATAGTATATAATATTAGCTATTACTAATGTTTATAGTATACTTATTATAAAGTATTCTATAAATACATAGAATTTTATCATAACGTTTTTTTAAAAATTAAATAGCTACTTATAATTTATAATTAATAAATACCTCAAAATTCGTTTTAAATTCGATTCTTCAGCAATGAAATTCTTAGAAAAATATTCTGTTTAGAAATTTGAAACTGAAAGTATAATTTACGTATCACACAACAAAATGATAACTTAAAAAATTACAATGATAAGAATTTTTAAAAAGTATAATTTTGTTCTCATACATTCATTTTGTTTAATTAATTTTTAAATCGTCATAAAAAAAAAAAAAATAATAATAATAGTAATAATTATATAAGTAGATATATTATGTATTTTCAAAAACACTAACATTTTTACCTTAATAAGAATCACTCTGTATATTAGATATATACATGCATAATATGTATAAATATATATCCATTAGTATGTTTTAACAACCACTGCACGAGTGTCTAATGAATATTGATCTATATACTAAAATAAATGAAAACATGATCGACGCTTTCCTGTGTATACTTGTATATTTTACAACGGATATATTATGTAGGAATACGTTTTAAATTATTTATTTTTTTTTTATCGATCTACTTTAACCTTACATTATAATAAAATATTATTTAGTATTATGTGAAATTATATTCTATAATTAAATTTAAAAATGTGATATTTAATAAATTTAGTAGGTACCTAACTTAGTAGGTATTATACGCATAATGTTAGTACGAGTATAAGTATATTATTATGTCGTGAATAAGAGGGCTGCAGTGTACACGTTTATATTGATCAGCTTCGGTGCGTGATTTCTATACAAATCATAATACTTGACGCATATAAAAACCAGTTACAAGACAATAATGTATTTTAATTATTTGCCATTTAACGAAAGTATAACTTTCATTTTGAACTGCTCTGTATACTGTATATTATAATACAACGCGGAGAGGTCACGGAGAATAATGCGGTTGTGTAATAATATTTTTATAGAACGAAACAGGCGGTTCTTGAAGAAACACTCGTCGATTAGCTTTGTAACGCAGTGGGGCCGAATTTAAGGATCAGTCTAGAGGCCTAACTAATTATGATCGAGCGCGCGGCTAATGATATCAAATACAACATGAAAATCGACCTTTTTCAATGTCAAAACGTCTTGTAGGTACCAAGGCACTACAGAAATCTGTAGAATATTTCGAAATAAATAATGTTATTTAGTTGTCGAATATTTATAGAATATTACCTATAGTTTCGAGGTAATCAAATAGGTATGAGAAATACATAGGTACTTTGCTATAAATGTGGTACGTTGAATCGTTTTTCCGAAATATTGAAGAATATAAATATATATATATAATATTGCTTAATTTTTACGAAAAAAAGTTTTTTTTTTATACTGGTTTGTAAATTGCAAAAATATACTTTTAAACTTTAATTCTATTATTTACATAATATAGTGCAATGCCTATTAATTTATTATTGTTGGTTATGCATTCAACATTTTAGTATTTAATATTATTATTTTTTAATTAAAGCTGTATATTATATCTTATGTATGTACGATATTTATTTAAACTTAATTTATTATTAGAGCTGTGAATTTAATGCGTTAAAAAACTATAAATTATTTACTTATACACTTACTTTAGTTAGTATAGGTATATAACTATTATATAAATACTGGATAGGTATTTTAAATAAAAATAGGGAAAATGTATGTAACAATCATATCGCTGTATTACAGTAAATGTCGTTTATAATATCGTCATTGAGTGAATCATTTTAATGTTGATAAATATTAATTCAATGTTAAATAACTGCATACAAAAAACGATTCTGAGCAAAAACTACGGTCAGCTTAATTTTATTTTATGATATAAATATTTAAATTGCTATTGAAGTAATTTATTTTAGTATTATTTATACTGTAAGTTGAATTATTTTTTCAAAAACATTGAATTTCAAAATATAATTGTCTGTATAATAAAACATAGTAATATACGTAAAAACTTCAAGTATAAAAAAATAATATTTTTAAATTACAGAAAAATAACTAAAATACAAATCACATACATTTTTAGAATTACTTATGAGGACATTTTCAGGCATTAGCTGTAAAAATTATATATTTTATACATTTTTTTACTACGAAATAATTTTCAAAATATCTTTATTTCGAGGAATTTAGTAAAAAATTCAAAAAGTTAATATTTTAAACACTTATAAAAAAATCATTCTAATTAAGTATATATATCTACAATATTTTATAATTTGTAAATGAGTAATTCTTTATAAACCTTGTATTACATTTTCAAACATTTTGGTGGCCTTGTGATGATATTATTATTTACGTGTACTAATAGAAAAATCTAAGACAAAAAAATGATTTATAAAAATATCTATAAATATCCCAAAATATTTAGAAATTATTTCATGTGTAAGAAACACTGAAATAAACATTTGAAATACACCACAAAAAATAAAATAAAATTGATTTTGTCAAAAGTTTGTTTCACATACATTTTTTTTGGTTTTTATAAATGATCGAAACATTATCTCTTCTATAATACATATATTGTACAAAACAATACACATAAACATACATAATTATAATCTAATTATTATTATTCTCATTAAGGTCAATACATTAATTGGTCTGATCTCATCAATATCTATAAAAATTATCACACCAAAAATCAAAATGCATAGGATATTGACTATAGCCGCAATTATATTACGAGTGCATCGATCATTACAAAAGTGACAAAAAAAAGCAAAATGTTTACATAGTCATTTTTCTGAATTGGGCAAGCCTGTAAAATTATGTTTAATACATTTTTGTCTTATTTTATTTGGTGTATGATATGATATATTTAATGAGTAATAACAACAGACAAAATTATATTAATTTTTTTTTAAATCTGTATTTTGACATTATTTGAATAAAAAAGACGCAGGTTCAGTCTATTAAAAAAAAACAAAGAAAAACTATTTAGAATTATTGTTAATGCCTACAGGGGAATAGGGATTATAAATATTAATGGAATTTTAGTTTTAAAATTATAAGTGGATTAAAACATAATATTAATTTTAATATCCCTACATAATCTTTGCATTGAAAATGTTATACTTATTAAATTAATAATTGAATCCTTTGTCTGTAAATGGATTACGATTATTTTTGAGGTTTAATATTATAAATAATAAATTTTATTTTTATTCAAACATGATTTTATAACATCTCCAAGATATTATATTATTATAATAGTCAGTATACAAATGGTACTCAATATTTATCCTTTCTATCATAACTTTTACATCGAACGCTCCAAAATCTTGATTATTTCATTTTGGTACAATTTACGAAGCTCATTTATTTCCTGCTCCCACTCTAATTGTATTTTCGCAGTTTTTCAATTTTCAATTTTAGTATTTAATATGTACAGATTTTTGCTACTAAAATCAAAATTAGTACGAAATTAGTTCCAAAAGTATTTCTGAATTCATATTTAGGTGGAGGTTAAGGACTTGGAGGAATCAATATAAAAATACCTACGTAGAATAAATTCAATTGAAGATGTCCCAAAATTATATTATATATTTATTAAAGTGAATGAGGTTTCAAATTTTCAATATCTTCACTAAATTTCTTTGTATTATACAGTTACCTTTTTTATTTTTAATGTATGAATATAAGTTTATGATACTATTTTATTAATCTCAGTCTCATTTTCAACTATTCGAGTGATTTTCGCTCTACCGCGCTTTACTCACATTAGTAATATATAATAGATATATAAAGTTAGTTGAGCATGTTATGTGTTATCTTGTGTTTGTCAGTATAGAATGTGATGATCGAAACGGGTAAGAGCATAAAATGACTCCACTCTATTTATCTATATCATGGATTCTGATTCAAAATAGTATAATATAGTATAATTTTACACGAGTATACCTACTTTGTTACGTAAAAGGTAAGAATAGTAAGAATTATAACTGTATTATTACTATTATTATTATTTAAAAGGATCTCCGGACTTATCAATTCCGTCATCTACCAATTTTTATTTGTGGTCATCTTATTTCCTTTTTAATTTTATTAAAATATACGTTTATGTTTGATTTAAACATGACATGTAACTGGTATCTTTGAAAATCATAACTCTACATAAAAAAAAGATACATCATAAAAAAAAATGTACATATCTATAAAACAGATAATATACATATTTTAATAAAAGTGCTAGACTAAGTAGGTATTAATTATATTACACGTCGTTCTTTACGTTAGATTGTTAGATTATAATAAGTCAATATAGCCATGTAATTAAAATAAAATTATAACTTTTATTTGATCTTTTTTTCCTTTGTTTGGTTATGTAATCGATAGGTTGTTTTCAGATTATCTATACAGGCAGAATCGATATATCTTTTCTTTAAATATAAAAATGTCTGGTGAAATCAATGAAATTCCATTATTTGGAACGTATTTATATAAATAAAGATATAATTATGATAATTAAGTTACATATTATTATAATTAAAAATACGATTAATACCACGTACAATTTAGCTCTATTATAATGTTTTGGTGAGTGACAACCAAAGAAAAAGCTGTAGACAGATATTGACAAATATCGTAATATTTATCAAAATATTATTCTTATCGTTGCTATCAAACAAAAAATTTAGTTTGTATTTTGAAATTTTTTAAAATAAATCTGCTTATAATAAACTAATATTTTTCATTTAAATAATAAATAAAAAATTTGATAAATTATTAGTAGTAAAATTATACAATATTATTATGTTAAATGTTTAGTTGTCCATTTACAAAACACTAAAATTAAAAAAGCTGTTATAATATTATAATTATGTTGTCGAACAGCGTAACCTTCGACTAAATCATAAATAAAAATCATTTTGATCGTGTTAATAATACTTTCGAAATCAATAATTAAAATTATTGTTTTTATAAATTCTCATAAAAAAAAAAAAAGTTTGTTATGTAATGAAATTTATTAAAAACGGTTTGATCATGTTTTAAGTGTCTACTGTTTTTTTAGGTTACGACCTAAAATTAATATTGACATTTTTTTTTTCAAAATTAATATTAATATAAGATTATTGACCATTGATTGGTTCGTAAAGCCGATGAGTTTACTTTTTGTCAAAAAAACGACAAAAAAGAAAGAAAACGAGTTTGTATGACCGTCAAAAGAGTGCCATATTATTAGCATTAAATTCGAGTGACCTTAACGTCGTATATAATATATTTACGCATAGGGAATAGCATACCGGCGGGAGATATAATATTATTGACTTTGAACGTATGAATAGGTACTTACTCATCATTAATTGTTGTACAAACGACATAGTTATACCTATATCAAATTATAACAATGAACACGACGTATTTTATAAAATCTAATTAAAGAAAGATAAATTTACGTTTTTACCTTATTGACAGTGATAGTATATGAATGAAGATCGAAAGTATTGGACAGACGCGTAATTCAATTCATTAAGAAATAATCGGTTGTTACAATAATAAACACGAGTGTCTAATAACTTATAAGCAATAATGAGACACGAGTGCATGTTTCCGTATACTTTATACGATACAATATACATTCACAGAATGTGATATGATAATATATGTAAGTAGATACACAAAATTAAACGCTAAGACTTCACGTATTACATCGTTTAGTAAAGTATGACCCATCATTAATATCAATCATTTTAATGGTATCATCGCGGAATCTATGTAAAGTGGGTCGGTATAGCGCGACTGATATTATGTTTTTGGAAAATACGATAAGTGTAACTTGTCTAAGCATATGATACGATTTATTTGTTTTTGCAGCGTGCATGGAAAATACATGTAATCCGTTAATTATCATTTTAATAAGATAATTAATATTACAATAATTAGAGAGAATTAATATTTTTTAAATGTTTAATTTTGAAAAAAAGTACCATAATGACCATATAACAACTGTGGAGACGCCTATAAGTATATTACAAAAATTTTTTTTTACATGATTATAATTATGACGTAAAAAAGTAATTGTGAATATTATTTAGAATTTTTCCTAAGAAAATTCGAGTATTCTTTTTGATAAAAAATAAGTAATAATAAATGTATACACAAACTATAAATAAAGTAATGTAAGCACCAAACACGTTGTAATAGATTGCAATGTCATGTGAGATGTAAAACGACGAAGACTGATAAGGTAAAGTATCAAACTACATACGTATCAACCGTAACGCATCACGTCCTAAACCACACTACTTCAATTATTATTAGAGTAGGTATATTAGTTGTATATTATTAACATATTATATTAATAAATATGTTTTAATCATGCATTTTGTTGGTTGTGTGATAGATACATCACGTGGTAAGTAATCAAAGGGAATGGGAAAGCCCATTCCTTTTATGTTAACAAACCAATATCAATAATTTTATGCATTTTGAATACGTATAATATATTATAATATTTTATCATGAATTTAAAGTATTTAAGTACAAGTAATATAATGTTTTTGTTAAACATTTTTTCAAACACGAGCAATTTGTCGGTACTTAGAATACATTTTATAATATTTAACCTACTTTCTCATATGCATTATGCACATTATTACATACGTATGTATGAACCGACAATTATTATTACCATGGCGTTCAAAAGAACGGTATAAATAGAAATGTAACTAATAAAAAAATTGATGAAAAGAATATTTTATTGTTAACAAAATGGCTATTACAGTAGGTACTATAATGGTATTGAGTATAGCGGTACCCTAAACATTTATTTTATTTGATAGACCGTTTAAAATACAGAGCGATTTATTTTTATTAAACGACACTTAATATTTCAAAATCTATGAAAATATTTTTTACATACTTTTAGACAAAATAAAACAGTATTTTTTTAAATATTTTTAATTTTTAAACTTTTTTAAATATATTTTTCTAATTAATATTTCTAAGCAAAATATTTTTCGAAATATTTCGATATATCAAATTTAAATTTTAACGAGTAATTTATAAGTTATAAGTTATAAGTTATAAGTTATAAGTATTTATAATTTAAGTAAACGGAATATAGTGTAGAGGTACAGGAATATTCAGCAAAATGTTGGCCTACTATTCCGTTTTAATAAAAAAACCAATGTTGTTATTGAAAAAAAAAAATAAAAAAATATAATTTTTTTAAAAAACAATTGTTTTAATTTGACTAGAAACTATGTAAATAATTTTTTTTTTTCATGATGTTAATAGATTTTGAAATAATAAGTGCTGTTTGATAAAAGAAACATCCAGTTTGTAGGAAAAAAATGTTGTTTTTCTTTCTGTCCGTACTCTGTTTGTAATACTTATAACTTGTAAGTATTAACCCACTAGCTCATGACGGGTAGTCTAATATGACCTTTTGGTATTACACATGCTACTCTTGTAACATGCTTGTGTTGGAGTAAGATTAACTAACATATTTTTTAAGCTGATTATATTATAATATATAAAAGGATTTGTATATTTTCTCGGATGGTTTCCGATTCTAGACCAAAATAGCGAGAAGAAAAACAGGGAAATCAAAATATAAGCAATATTTACTCACAGGGCGCAATTCGGGGTCTTCCTCTCCTCAGATTTGAGCTCATAAACATATTTATTATTTACGTACTAGAAAATCCTAGACCAGAGGTGGCGAACCTTTTTTCAAATAAAGGTTTTGAAAATTTTTCACGTGCCCAAAGTAAATTATATTTTCTAAGGATAAAAATAAAGTTACATAATAAGTATAATAACAATTTAGTCATATAATACATTTTACAAAGGAATATTGTAATTTTTAAACATAATTTGTTTCTTTGAATTTTTTATAACCGACATTTTATAAATAGCATAATTTTTCATAATTTTAATTTTTCACGTGCCATTGAAATTTAACCAACATGCCACCTCTAACACGCGTGTCGTAGATTCGCCACCCCTATCCTATACCCTAGACCAATTTCGATATTAACATAAAATTCTACTTGCGCATTTTCCACGATATGGGCCTACCTGTAAAAATAGTCGGCTATTATACATAATAAATCAAAGTACATTTAGAGAGCGACATACTTAATTTACCACTAGTGGATGCAAAATCAGCTGGCTTTATTCACACAATTAGTTGTTAGATAGTTATATATTCAAATACGTTTTTCGTTTTCATTATTTTTTACTTACAAAAAAAGACCAGTTAAGAAAGGAGAAGACAAAATAAATTGATTGAAATAACAAATAACGAGCTACACTCGACTTCTACTGCACAGCAGAGTGGTTAATTACTTTCTCCTTTTTTATTTCATTGGTTGTAGTTGAATGCGATTTTTTATTTAAACGTGGAAATAATTGTATGTTTTTACACATATCTTTTCCAACCGATCTGCCACTCAGGGAAAATGTGTATGCAATTTATATATCAGCTGTGAAAATATATTTCACAACAAAAAACATTCAGTTGCATGAATAATAATTATTATTCATGGTAGAAGTGTCAAGTAATAAAATAAAATAAAAACGATTAGTAGGATACCAGTGTATTATTTTCTTGATAACACTTGATAAAAAAGCAGATCCTATTTTATGTTGTAAGTTTTCATATTTTTAGAATGAATTTATGTACGAGTATTATCAAACTTGGAGCTAAGAGTGTTGACAAATATACTTCATAGTATTGATAGATATTTAAATTTAATAGTGAATTATAAAATCTAAAATTGTCATAACTTGCTTACACATAACAAAAAATAAATATAGGTACATTTTTGTTTAAGAGTACATCATACCCTCACGCGTTTTCTCCGTCTTACAAAAGTAAAATATATATATTTTTTAATTTATTACTTAGTACTTACTATGGAGTATTCATCAATAGTTAATATTAAGTGAAGTTAGAAATAACATTAATATTTAAAATTTAAAATTTATAATACATTTATTGAGTAAAAATTAAGATTTTAGTGACTTTGAATGATAGGTACTACTTTAAATGTAATGTATAGAATAAAATATTAAAGGTACTTTTATACAATGCCGCCGATGTGAGTATATTTTAATCAATAATAATTAATAAATACAGCTGAGAGTCTGAGACCATAATGTTTGATTCCGTCAAAAAATATTTCCAAACTAAATTTTTGAAGTAAGATTTTATCTATAGTTATTAATTTACAGTTTACTTTTTGCAATATATAATACGGTGGTTGTTAGAAATGGTTATTAGAATAACAGTTAATTGACTCATTCATTTATTAGAATCAAAACAGTTGGTCCCGATTTGAGTGTACCTATACTAACACATAGCAAAATAATCGTTTAAAAAATTCCCTACGTCGGTTAATGGAATTGTTTGAAAATTAGATAAATAAAAAAAAAAAAAAAAATAGAACGTGACGTGATAGAAGCAAAAACTCAATCAACCCTGAAAGATTTCTATCAAAAACTAATTATACACCAAGGTTATTGTAATAAACAAATAAATACATATTTAAATCATATTTTATCACTCAACACTCATCTATCATATTATATATTATTATTTATTAATTATTTTATTATATAATTCTATAAATATATTATATTTATTACATATACATACATACATATTATCTTTGTAAAAAATGTGTACTTTTAAAGCTGAAATTTCAATAAATATATGAATTAAAAAAAAAAAAGGATAGAATGTGTTTTCTTTGGTCTTTCATCTTATTGACTCAAATGGACTGTTCTCAAAATAAGTAACCGCTGAACGTACTATAGTACTAATATTATTGTTTTTCTACTACATTTTGAACGGAATTAAAAGTTAAGCCAAACAGCAATGTAAATTGTAGGTACTGGAAACAAAATAAAGTATGCAGAATAGAACAACCAACAAAAACACACAGTTGTAAAAATTTAAATTGATAAAAAAAAAAGTAACTGACTATACGGTTACAAACGAGTTAAGACATATACATATATGATGTATATATACAATTTAAATATTATAATAACGTCGTTTGTAGGTTTCATTTTCATTATCTAATGAGATCGAAAATTGTAGTATGACGTCATCTCGCCGGTTCATTGCTCGGTGGCCTATATTATATTGTACATTCATTAAAGTCGCTTCACTCCCATGAATCACTTTAATTATTTTTTTGTGATTTTGTTATTCGTATCGGACAATTTGCGCTTTGGTTTATTAAAAAAAATAAAATAGTATATAATATAATTTATTCAAATCAATCAAAATTATTACGGTTTTTGTACTATTTTTTTTATTTTAGAATTTTTTTTTACCTATGAAATCTGGTGAATTACAAAATTCTACAGAATGTATTTTAAATCACAGCGTTTTTGTACATATTTCATTTTGAAACTGTACTAATTATATTAGAATCATTGTAAATTTTTTTTTTATGTAGTAATTGCTTAAATTGTACAATTATACATTCATAATATTACCATTACCGTTGTATAAACAATGAGTACATTACA